CCCTACTAGAAGTTTGAACCAGTTAGTTCTTCATGCTTTCGGCAATTCTTAATTCGCTCGAGAAGAAAAAAACACTTCTACCACAGAAACTTGGTTGCTTAGAAGATGAACTTGCTGTTGGGGAGGTGACAACCGCACTCGAGGAAGAGCCATGTCTGTCACTGAGGAAGGAGCTACAGTCCGCTACAGTTCATAGATGGCCCTGTATTGGTTGGTTGATTCATAGAGGGGATATAGAACGCCCAGTGAACAACCAATAGGTATGCGGATGTATGCGGTATATGGATGTATATGGTACCTGGCACTGACTCCTCCATTGTTCCCGAAACAGCATCATTGCATATCGTTGCTACAGGGAGCCTTTGGGGTTGTTTCTCGAGCGTGCCATGATAAGACTTCCCAACAGGCACCATGGTTACATGCGTTCCCTGCACTTGGTCAATTGTCTATGCGGAGGTGGGGTGACTGAGTGATCGACTCCATGCAATAGATCAGTTCGACTCAATCTCATCGCTGGTACGACCGTCGAACTTCCTTCTGCCGTACACAGCTCCTGCCCACCAGTCGTGATGACCCAAAAGCCAGGCGTCTCATGCTTTCTGGGTTTGGTGCTGCTTCGCATCGGTTCAGAGTCCACTCAGAAACCCCCGTGCCACGATGCGCCACAGTGCCGCCCTTGCCCAGTTCTTCTGGGCCAGTGGGTAAGTTACCTAACAGTCAGTTACCTAACACCTCAAGAGCTGGTAAGTTCTTCTGAGCAGCCTCCATTCGGCGCATTGTAGGGGCATCCGAAGCGGGTTCTGTGTACTGTGACCAGCATCCGCCAATTGGCCAATTGGGCTCCCAAGCTCTGGTATGGATCAGAAACCCACACACCAAACAGAAGAAAGGTCTTTTTCATGATTTGGGGTCCACCAGACCTGGAGCTTTCGCGGCGCAGGCTTCTTCTCCTTGGCGGCAGGTGGGACGTGAGAGCACCGGGGTGAGCACGCAGCCATCTGGTGACCAGACAAAGGGCTTGCCATGGATTCCAGACAGTTGAAGGTTGTACCCCTCCCCTTTGCAAGGAGCCCGACCGAAGCCTGTTTGGAAGATGTGGGACTCGTGGGACCCCAATGTTTGCAACGCCCGTCGTGTCGAAGGTCACTTTTGAACCTGTTTCATGGGCACCGTTTGCATCGGTTGGGATATGTTGTGTGGCCGTGCATTGAACAGAGGGGGAGGAGACCGTGTGTGGTATTGAACACAGTGAAACCAGTGCAATTTTCATGCACGTCCATGGTGACCTGTTCTGGTATATATTGGTGACATGTGGGGTTCTAGAACCAAAGGTGGGTTGAATCCGCCTTGCAACCGAAGCATCCGCCCTCCACCACATTCCAAGGTCTCAAGGTCTCATTTTCAGGCACGAAAAATGGCACATGTCCGCGACACCTGTCTACCCTGCTTGGGTAGACTGGTTGAGGTTCCGAACCTCCCATGCTGGTCGGCACGCCTGGGGTTCGGTCCTCCCTAAGAGTGAAGCTACACATCCAAATGGTCAAGGAAGATGTGTGGCACTTGGCTTCTGCTTGGTTCGGTTTCTGCTTCATCTTGGTTTCTGCGTTCGCCTTGCTCATCGACCCCAAGATTCCACCGTTTGCATGTTGGGATCCAGAAATTGGTATCAAGGCATGGGTTTCGAAGCGCCTCAATCAGCTCGACATCATAGTTTCTGTTAGACTTGTTTGAGACACGAGTGTTTCAAGAATACAATACTTGTTCTGGAGGAAAAGCACCCCAAGGCCAAATAGGTAGGCATCTGGCTGGATCAAAAGGCTGCAAAGGGCACCAAGACAAACAAGGCTTTACCAAAATACATGGGTGTGTATTAGAACCCCTTCGAAGAAGACTAGACCAAAAGCCATTGGTTGGGGGTCCACATATTTAAGATACACACCCACATGGTCACATGGTATGGTTTGGTGGTCACCGTATGCAAAAGTTAGAGTTCAATCTGACTTGGGGATTCCACCAAGCCCTGTCGTTGGCTTGATTCTACGAGCCATTCGATTCTAGGAGTGCCAGGAACTCTCCTTCGCCCACTGAGCTTTGGGAGGGAGTACCTACGGAAGGATTTTGTGTTGAGCTGCAGTGTAGAAGTTCACCTCTTCCAGAGTAGGCGGGAAACACTGAGTATCTCACGTTGTCTTGTTGCGCCATCCCAGAAAAGAAAGACGGAAGTCTACAGAGGGAGATTTTTCGGGAACCGCAACCATTTGCTCTGACAAACTCATTTGCCGTTCCTGTTCAAAAGGAGAAGAGCGCCCAGAGGATTTCGATCAGTTTGTGTTTGTTGGGGTGTGTAGAACTCCCCGCACCACTCAGGGGTATGAACTCCCCGGCCGTGCCCAAGCAAGTCCCCAAGTCCAGACGATTGGCCCCGAACGATTGGTCGACAGCTGTAGTCCAGACCAGCCCGTGCGTCCCTTTTTCCAGCCGTGTGGGATCGAAAAGCCCCAAGGTTCAAACGTGTTTTGAGGTTTCCCTACACGGCTGGACGGATGAAAAGCCCCCATGAACAAGAGGTGAACGGATGGTTCCGGAGAACGGCTGGACGGATGGGTTTTGATCGTCAAAAAACATCCTTTTGCTGGAGATGGTCGGGCAAAACCATATACTGGTGGATGCAAAAGACCACCAGGTTTTGGACCTGGGTCAGACTGGACGAACGTAGGGTTTTCCCAGGTGGAACCAATGTTCCACCAGTTACCCAAGCCCCAGTTCCCTAGCGGCCCTAGCTACTGTATATATAGAAAACGTACGATGAGACTCTGGGATACATAACTATCCATCTTCATCCATTAGGTCATTTTTTGGGTCCGAGTCCTTGTGAGCAATCTGACAAGAACAGCGTGGGTGCTTTGTATAGCAACCAGCTAGATTGATCCAGTTCTGAAAGTGGGGAGACGATCCGTGGGATTCCGTGCTCATATATTTTCTCCAGTTGCAGCTGTGGCAGGTGCTGCTGTGGGTTTCCTCGCCCTGAGGCGGGGGGCGAACGGACTGGGCCAACGAATGAAAGGCCCATCGGAACCAGAGGAGGAGGAGGAAGTTGTGGAAGACTATCCACTTCACGCACCCTATATCACCCTCAGCACCATTTTCCTTCTTGCAGCTGGAGCATCAGCCTGCAGCCATCAGCACCCAGCACCCTATATATTGTAATATCAGCACCCAGACCCAGCCCTCTTTTTGTGGTTGGCGACTTCGGGAGATGTGAAATCAAGCTTCTTTTGCATCTACCCCTGTTTTTGGAGATCGCTCAAGAGGTCTTCCAGGAGCTTGAGATCAAGGTTTAGAGTGGCCATGAGCGGTCTCTAGATTCGGTTTCGCTTTGAAGAAGATCAGGACATTACTATTCGAATTGAATGGGGGAGGCGGTTCGTCGTTTAAACCCGCGGTTGACCCGGGTGTGTGGACACGTCACATGATGTGATTTGGCTTCGTTTCGTCGCCTCCTACCTCAGTTGGTGGATGTGATTCTTAGTGAACCACCTGGCACCCCAGTCCCAACCAGAAACAAATGGTTGTTCCAATATGGCGCCGGCTTGAAATCCTTTACGGAAATGGCTGGGACTGGGGAAACATCCATTTCTTTCTGGTGGGGACTGGGTTTCCAGGCAGATATACTTGAAACAACTGTTCGTGAGAGAGACACCCCAAGGTTCTGAGGTGCCGGGCCTCCGGCAGCCTCGAGTCGAGTCACGTCTGAGACTCACCAACCCGAACACAAATACAAAGTAGAAGGGGCCAACAAGAGCACGAAAAGGACATCGGCAAAGCTCGGGTTTCAAGCTTGGTGGGTGCGGGTCGTGAAACTGCCGCGAGTTGAACCCTCGTCTGAGACATGTCTTTTGGGATACTGGTGGGAGAAATGGGGATGTTCCACCTCATAAAGATCTCATAGGTTGGTTTTGGTGGATCGAAGAACCGATGTCTTTATGGTTCCAGGTTTCGCCCAAACCCTCGACATCGGGCGCCACTACATCTGTGATCTGAGATCTTCCAAGCTCGAAGTCGAGAAGTCACCCAACGTTCTGAGGTTAACCAAAGATGGATGGTAACCTGACTCTTTGGGAACATGTGATCCTTGTCATCTATATAACTCAATCTAACTCATCTAACTCATCAGTCCTTCGAAAAGAGGCATGTTCTTTTTCATCCTCCAAGCGAAGCTGGGGGGAAGCTGGGCAACTTGTTTGTGTTTGGCCAGCCGAAACATTATAAGTTTACAAAAGGTACCAACCAGAAGCCACAAAGGGATGGTTTGAAAAGCCACAAGTGGAACATGGGCACCCCGACTTCCTCATGGAATACTGGAAGAAATGTATTAGAGGTTGTTGTGAAACTCCAAAACCTCTGTGGGAACCGCGGCGACTCCGTGGGAGCCGCAGCCAGACTTGCCGCTGATCTCGCTGATCTCGAAGCCGACTTCGCGGACGGCGAAGCCAGACATGAAGAAGACAGTCCAACTGACATGGAGACCAGATCAGACAACCATCATTTCGTGATTTTGTGCGTCCTTTGGTAGATAGGATGGATCATTGGTACTGATGCATACCACTTACCCCACCACGTTGCTCTTTACCAGGGTTGCCCATGAGCTTCGCAAGCCGCAAAATTTACGATATCTGTTTTTTTGCAGCCAAAATTTGAGCCCCACCTACCTACTATACCTACCCTCCAAAAAACATGAAGGTGGAGGACTACCTCCGATTGGTAGGCCACGGGGGCCACATCATGTGCAAAATCAACTTTGTTGGATGGAGAGCAGCTGCAGATTCTCAGACCTGATCCTTTATTTTTGATGAAGCGTATTCCTGGAAGTCTGGCCAGGGTCCTTCCACACCAATCAACATACACTTGACGGGCGGACCGAAGCTGAAGCCTCCACATATTTGAGGAACGTTCTCTCTCTCTCTCTCTCTTTTCTGATTTGAAAAGGCCAGGTCCGGGAAAAGACATCAAGTCAGTGCACTGTTGGTGCGGTCCTTTGGACCATTTTGGACTTGGTCCGACTGGAACATCACAGAGATATCACAGGAGTTCTATGCAGTTTCTCTGTGCGCTTTTTGCGGCTTTGCCAGTGCAAAGCTCCGCATCCTCCGCGTACTTCGACGCGATGCTGTCACATGAGCCAAGCCGCTCCAGCCGAAGCTTCACAGCGCACTCGGACTTTGATGAGGCAGGGTATTGGCTTTGGGTGAGGAGGTGCTTGGAGCTAGGAAGGACCAAGAGAGAAGGCAGACAGACTTCCTGGAAGAAGTGAGACCTACAGTTGATGGAAGAATATGTTATTTTCTGCACCATGTAGCTAGCACCTTGTAAACCAGTGGGAATCTCCACCGGCTGGGGACCGACCTTGTACCACGTGTTCTCTCTTCGTCGAACCGATCGGTGAGGATCTTTGGAGTTGATTGGTGTCCTTTTTGGAGTTTTGTACCTGGAACCCAGACATGAGCTCTGTTTTGATCGGATTTTTGAACCCTCTTTTGGGTGGTTGCTGGTCCAAAATAGGTCATTCAGGTTCCAGGGATTGACCAGTACTCCCATGTCGGGATGCCAATTGGACGCCCGGGGGCCCCCGTTACATTCCACTTGATCCTCTGGATGTGACTCAAAACCTCCTTTTTCCTTGTGACTCCTGGTGTTAGGGTGTTGGTGTTTACTTATGGAATTTCGCACCCGAACCGGTTTCGACCGGTGCGCAACCGGTGGAGAATCGGGCCTTTTGCCATGCGCCACCGTTTCGAAGTGGCTGCCCAGCACCTCGGCTGCGTCGAAGATGCAGCACCTCACGGGTTTTTTCGGGTGACAAAAGGACCAGGAGGCTCTGAGCCGCCACTGGATCCACTCCCAGGAGAAAAACCGATTCGGACTCAGGAATGCAGTTTGATTTGAAAGAATGCCGTTGGATCATTTGTAGAGAATCGACATTCGTTTGAGCATTGTTTGTGGGTCCAGAACCATTCCAAACAATACCGGACCTGGGGTGCCGTGAACACGGCCACGGACCACGTTGGACCTGCATGGGTCGCATCGGTCGAGAATCGACGGACCGACGCTCGACGGGTCGACTCCAGGTGTTCCCCGAAAGTCTACATGAGTCCTTCTTCCGGATGGAGGCGAGCATCGGGCGGCCCGAAGAGAAGGAAGCTTGTGGATGGGGAAATCCAGAGTTCGGGTATGTTCAGGCGAGATTTTTTGTCTTCTATAGCCATGTGGGTGGCATGCAGTTGATTGATTAGCCATGAATGGTTCTTTTCAACAATGCCATAATGAGAGTTGGTGTGTCCTTCAAAAGTTGTAGATGCATGGACAAACCAATCCAAGATCAGGAGCCACCAAACAGGGAAAGTATGTGGACTTGGGGATAGTTGAAGGGTATTGATGGAGAAAGTGTACTTCTTTCGCCTTTGAGTAGATGATCACCGCACTACTGTAGACATCATACCTTGTTAAACCTTTCTTTACCAGGCATGACAACAGAGGATCAAGAACTTGTACCTGGAGAGGCTCTCAGGTGTTAGAGATACAAAACACATGGGGGATAGTTATTAATGAAGTCTGCATGAATCATCAGAAGTTGGTTGCACTCCTGGGTCATAGGGAAGACCTGTGCAACCTCTCCACATTCTCTATGCATCTTTCCCACAACCATGGAGCATAGTGCCAATAATGTGAACCAACAGCCGGAGATTTGGCATGTCTGGGGGCATCTAGGTTCAGCTCTGTTTTAGGGGTTTCTTCGGTGTGTGTCCAGGACTTAAGTATGGACAGTTACATCTTTGGGTACAATGGACACTTCCCTTTGCAAAGAGCCAAGCCAAGAGGTGATGGGGCAAGGAGCGGCCAGAAATCTGGCGAAATGGTGGTGAGTCTACTCATTTTGCTCCTCAAGTCAGGGGGACATCTTCCACCTGAAGTTGGAACACCACCTTGCTGCTCCAAGCCATAGAGTACCATCCAAACCCGCGGATCATTCTTTCTTTCACTTTCGCCAAGAGCGTCTCGCTTGTGACTAGTGGTTTAATTACGAATTGGCAGAAGTCACTGCCGCTGCATGGTAGTCAGGGCCCATCGGCGCCTCAGTGTCGAAGTGGGCCACCAACTTCTGTACAGCAGCTTCAAACCAACCGGGAACATCGGCCTCCCCTTCATCAGCCTGAGCATCTAAAAAGGTCTGTGCAAGCGCTTTGCAAAGTGCACCGGGATATTGCTTCAGTCGGCTCGTGTTCCAAACGCCTTGGGCGTTTTTCCCGACGCTAGAACCGACAGGAACCTCGGTGACCTTACCGGCACGAAGCAGGTGCTCAGCCTGCGGTGCATGTGCTACTAACAAATCCGTAGGTTTGGCGGACGGAGCACCAAAACACAGGGGGGGCATTAGGTGTCAATCCTCCCCCAACAAAATTTGGGCCAGCCGAATTTACAGCTCGACCGGACATCTGGTAGTGTCCAGGAGCAGACCTCTCATCAGTTTGGAGTTGACAAACTTCGTGGTCAAACAGGTGGCCAAGAGTGTCATGGCCCTCCCTACAAAATTCTCCAAAACCGAATCTTGGTCGAAAGCCTTCATTCAGGGACAAGCATCCTGAGTGCAAGCCAGAGCGCCCACAAGGCCAAGAGGCATCTCGAGCTTCATCATCCACAGCAGCAGCAGGAACTGTAGAGGTAGCGTTTTGAATATGCTGCCACTGTTGGTGGGCTGTAACAAACTCAGCCCCGACAAGATTGCCCAAAAGAAAAAAGGCCACAAAACTTCTTGTCAAACCACCACCCCTACGCGGCCTCAGCAACAAGCGTCTCCCTCCACATCTTCGTGCAGAGTGGGGAAAGCGTGGAAATTGTTGCTCTCTCCAATGTAGTATCACAATTGCCGCCAGAAAGCAGATCATCCCAAGAACTACTCGGAAGAGGCCTAGTAGGATATGCACACCACTGACGCCAGCTTCCACTTCATCCTTTTCCGCTGCCTCCAAGCAAACAATGTTCATAAAAGCCGCAATGGAAAGCCAACCAATGATACCAGTGATTCTTGAAAACGCCGGCCAGGTTTGCAGCTTTCCATGTACCCTTGTATGCCAAAAATCCGAAGCTTCATACACCGCACTGACTAGAGCAAATGCCCATAGAGGCGGCAGGAAGAGACACACCAACAAAGTCCAATCAACCCCAGAAAAGGAAAAGTCACTGGCTCGTCCAACAAGCCAGTGTATCCAGGATGAATAGGAGATCTCTAACAGAACCGAGATGAAGCAGCTCGGAAAGGCAAACGAAAAAAAGAGACCACTACATCCCAAAGCAGTGGATTCCTGAAAGTTCACACTCGGGGTAGCATCATCTTCTCGAAGCAACTGCCCCAAAACTACTCTATGTTTATCCCTGATCTCATCAGTGGGCGAAAAACCACCAAAAGGAAAAGGACCATCTCCAGCAAGGGCACTGACAGAGCTCTTGAGGAACCCAGCTCTGTCACACTGTTCCTGCCCAGACACTAGCATGAGACAATCCCGCACTCCATATAGATCTCGACCAAAAGCAGCGCAAAATGCAACCTCATGGTCAATTCGTGAAACATCGAAGGCCAAGATGCCTTCTATTCCATGTCGTTCATAGCATCTGGCATAGCATTCTCCAGCCTTTTGGGTCCATGAGATGCCGCTACCTGTCCAGGCGAACTGTCTGCACCAATCTTGGGCACCGATCCATTGCCTCCGAATGGGAGAAGGGCATCCCTCACCCTCTTCTTCGGAGTCACCTTCTCCTCCTCCGGCTCTTTCTTCACAGGCAGAAGTCCCGGTGGGCCAGCTGCCGTGAATGACGACATCACCTCCTGGATGAGTTTGTCCACACTGTCGAAGGTCGGGTAACTGTCCAGATTGGAGTTCAGAATCCCCAGGATCTTTGCTTGACAAACCTCTGGAAGTCCACTCAGCTTCTCTTTCAATCCAGCATGAACATCGTCTTTCCCCGGCTCTTTCTTCTCTGTCTCTCCACAATCTCCTCGACCTCTCGATCTGGAGCGCCCACGTCTCTCTGGCTTCTCGGGCGTGAGGATCATCGGGATCTTGCCTTCCCCCTTGGGGTGAACCTTCTGTTCCGGCGACTTGCGAAGAGCTTCTGTATGGAGTGACCCATTGTCTGCAAGCTTGGTAAGCATAGCCATCATCTGCGAATGCATGTTGTCGATCATCTGATAATTGCGATGCTCGAGCTGTGCAGTGTAAGTGGTAAGATCTTTGAAATCCTGCCGCATCCCAGCAAGCTCTTGTTCCAGATGTACAATGGCAGGCTTGACTCCTTCGGCATCTGACTCCGAATCCACTTCCACAGGGTCCACTCCATCTCGCTGGCGCTCCAAGGAGCGCAATTGTTCTTGCAGCTGAGTCAAAGCATCTCCATGCCTCTTCTCCTCCTGCTTCACTCCCAAGCTCATCCATTCCTTCCAGGAACGGAACTTGCCTTCCTCCTTTTCTATCGATTCCTTGACCTTCTCCAGGCGGTTCAATCCACGTCTCTCTTGATTGAGAGCCTTCTGTCGCTCTCGCAAGGATTCGCGAGGATCTTCCTTCACCAAATCCTGGAAATCCGCAGGAATCTCCACCTTGCCCGACATATTCTCCAGAACAAACTTCATTGCAGCTTTGAGCTGCTTGTTCTCGTCCTTGAGCGAGTTCTCCGAAGAGGGCATAGAAGAGGACCGGCCAGAAGTACGGTCTGCAGCATCTTCTACCTTCACTTTCTTGCCATCGTACCCGTAAAAGGCCGGCTCTTTGTCGAGGTCTTTCTGCCACTTTCGATTCTTCTTCTGTGGGGTCTGGTTCCAAGACTCCCACGCAGACCATTGCTGCTGTCTGCCTTTCCCCCATGGCATGTTCTCACGAAGAGCTATAGCTTTGAGGGAGTAGTATGCTTTCGTATGGTGTGCTGCCAAAACCCTTCGGGCAAAAAGCAGCTTTCCAAGAACCCTTCCACAAGGAAAAGGCTTATCGCGGTGCCGCCGTAGGTAAAACCGCAAGCGCTGTCTCCTCTTTCTAAGCTTCCGATGCCAAGAGGGAGACCCTGTGGCTTCGAAAAAGCGATCTCGTCGAGATCTGGGGCCTAAAGTCCTTCCGCTATCCTAGCGGCAATCTCGAGCCCTAAAGGCAGCTTGAGCCAAAATGGCTACGGCACCCGCGGATCAAAACGGACAAATCGCCTGAGTCGAGTCCATTCCGTGGGCTCTGAAATCAGCCATGGCTTACGGCTTACGTGAGTTCACCACCGGTGTCCTGGTGGTCGGATGTCATGGTCTCCGAGTCATCGGGGGAAACCTGCCATGCCACCCTGGCCAGTGATGATTTTCAGGGAGTGCAATATTCTTGAGGCAAACCCAAATGAGCTTGGTGCAGGAAATGACCTATCTTCTTATTGGCCAAAGCCATGGGCCATCCTTGTCCTTTCGCTTCGTGTGCTTTGTGGCACCAAAAAGCAGAGGTATCCCCCAAAAGCGAGCGAGGCAACTGAAAAGAATGCACCGTTGAAACAACCATCCGGGCTCTTGCACGTTCTGTTTTTTCCTCTTTGGGGTTGGCAGTTCACTCGAAGTTGTTTTTTCGGCTTCATGTTAAAGCTTTCGACATCATCTTACACCGCACCAACGACGGATGGAGTGAACTCTTGAGCGCAAGATGTGAAGGTTTTGCCCGAAGTTTTCAGAGGCCGGCTGGCGGTCTTGGAGTTTTTGCCCGTTGGACCGTTGGATCAACCGAAAAACGACCACACCAACGGTCATCAGGCGCGGAGGCAAGCCCGACTGGCGAATGGGAGGCACGCCAGGGTCGCGTGGTCTTCGTCACGGGGGGCTTCGCGTTTGGTGGTATTTGGTGCGGGCAGAAATGGGAGGGAGTCGGAAGTTTGGGTGTTGACCTTTTTCGTCTTGAGTATGAGGTCATGCCTTTGGATGGTTCTCATACCCATGTTAAACATCACGGGTTTTCATCACCGGACACCTCCAGCAGAACATTTCGTGCACATTTGGCGCTTGGAGTCTGTAAAGTCAAAGCCTCCTGCTCACACACAGAAAGACACGCCCTGCCGAGTCGACTTGGTAGACACAGATCTGAGTTGTCGCCTTAGAGTCGGACCAAGTCAAAGGTGGTCCCAGCTCCCCCAGACAGGACCTGTCTGGGACTAGACTATCTGCCGCCCCAGAAAGACCCCCCTGGCACCACCCCTGGCCGTTTCTCGGCCAAGATGGCAGTCCCAGCGGTCGTGAGTGTCTGGGTTCGACCCAATGAAGCGAGGTCCGTCTGACCCGCCGGATGCCCGTTGGATGCATAAGGGAATCCAACTAGGGGAATCCTTCTCTGCACCCCATGAACACCTGTGAACTCATAGATCGTTTTTGTAAATAACCACCACCCTCTTTGCTTCCTTGCAGGAGTTCTGGTTGGCTGCCCCATATCAAGTTCTTCTATTTTGGACCTCTTTTGGAACCTGGCTTGGCTGGTCCTTTTAGCATCTTTTAGCCTCCAGGCTCATGGCGCGAGGCGTTTGCTCCGCCATCTCCGAAGTCGCCATGTTCCTAGGCGCGATCGGCTCACGGTGTTTAAAGGGCGCATCGATCCGGGATGGTGAAATGGGTCGTGAGTCCTACCTTTCTGAGGTTGGAAGGCTATACCCTCCGAGAACCACCCCTCGACTGCGCTGCTGTACGTCCAGACGGTGCTTGTCCACCGACGAGACGAGAGCGAGACGCCCGCCTCCACCGAAGCGGCGCTTGACCCTGGCACTGTCAGTGCACCTCCCCTCCATCGCGGCGGCTTTTTCCGGTGCTTTTGGGGGGAAACCACGTGAGGCGTTCACCGTTGGCGGTGAAACTGAAGCTCCGCTCAAAGACTGCTGCCGTACGGATGTCAGGCCCTCCGTACGGATGTCAGGTGATGTTCGGAAGTTGTTCGGATCCCTTCCATACCAAACTCTACCAGGACCTTCCATTCGAGGTGTCTGTAAATAGTCTCGTGTTTAGAGGTGAGGACCGGGGTGTTCAAACATGACCACTTGACTTGGAAGGTGCATGGTATGAAATTCTGACCCTTCCTGTGAATCCATTCCCTTTGGATCCATTCCCTTCTGTTTCTTCCATCCATTCCATCCTACCAATCACCAGGCGCCGCCACCTGGCCGCCTGTGTCCAGGCTTTGCCTTGTATGGCCTGGCGGCCTTACGTACCGAACTCTTGGGCCCTCCGCAGCAGGCGCCTCCGATGGTGGAGCGGGACTCTCAGAATGTTTCAGGGTTGGATTTTTCATTGGTTTGGGACAGATGATTCAGATGGTTTGGGACGGTGTATTTTCCATTCTTCTCGGACATCGGGGCAGGTGTTCTTCCGCCGACACACCAGCGACTCCCTTCAAGACTCCGCGCGGGCGCCTTCGGAACGGAAAAGACCTCCGTGCTCCGTGCTCCGTGCTCCGCGGGCTCCGCGCCGCGCGGGGGGGATCCGCCACTGCAGGCGGTCTCGTACTTGCTGCTGCCGATCCTGGTGACCATCTGCACCGTGGGGCTGACCCTCCGCAGGCGCGGTCCGATCCGAACAGCGGCGAAAACGCGGCGAAAACCGAAACCTGCGCCGCGTGGTCCGCGTTGGTCCGCGGGACACCCGGAAATCCGGACGGTCGGATGGATTCTAAAGCTGGAGATCGGACCAGCGGGGGGGGCGGTGGTCACTGGGGAAGCAGGATTGAGAACAAGAGAGTCGTGTTTTGTTAGACAACGACTGCCTGCGATTGAAGAATTTGGGGAAGACCATGGGAATGTTTGTGATTTCTTGTTGGGGTGCACATCGGTTGATGGGACCAAGCCGACGAGAGGAACAGAGCACACCATGTTACCCCAGGCGCACCAGGCAATGTGTTTTTGAAGCACAGCAGTGCTGCAGCGCTGATGACTTATATATATATATACAGTATAATATGAACTATGTCCATTCATGACTTGCTTGCACAACATTTCGATCCATGCTGCATTTCCCACCTTGAAACCGTTCGGCACATCGCTCAAACGAACCCACCGGGCACGTCTTGAAGACGCACCGAACTTCCCTGACTCCGCAAGCGCCTCCTTCCCCGCAAGCGCTTTGGCGGGTGTGGAAAGCAGCCCGCATTGCGGCTTGCCCGAGCTCCAGGTCCGTGGCCAACAAGGACAACTTGCCGTCGCTCTGGGCCAAGACCTGGATCACGCGCCCTGTCCGAGCGGTGGAAGGGTGACGCGACCTGTCACGGGTCCACCGGAGCTTTGGTATGCTTTGGTCACAAGGAGCGGGATGAGAAGATTGGAGATAGGTGATATGTTCCTCTCTGCAATGTCTCTCTTTCTTCCAGTGATGTCAGTACCTGCTTTCTCCAGCATGGTTTCGTGGATAGTATGGCTTCTTGGAAGACCAAGAATTGTCCTATTTGAGCATGGGGAAAGAGGAAGGGTCGTTTGTTTGAGGAGGGCATTGTCCACTGATACCAGACTTCATTCAATAGCACACTTAAGACGACATGGAGCGTACGCATCCTGTCAATATTCCAGTTGCATCACAAACGCGGGAGAAATCTGTTTGAGCTATTGGCCGATTGGTATAGTTTTGACATGTAATACAGACTAAGACTTCAACCATCTGCGCATATCTGCGCATATCTGAGCCCGACATCCATGAGGCCCTGCAGGACCCCCCAGCAGGGTCCCCTGCAGGCTGCCCGAAACCCAACGTCTTGATCCGAGGCTGCTGGTGGTCTGGGAGCTCTGGCTGTGGCCGGAAACGCGCGCAGGCGCGCTGCTTCAGGAAGAAAAGGTGTGAAGACGTCGGTGATAAGAACTGACTGGCACGGCTCGCAATGTAGACTCGCAACGATGAGGCTGGGGGGGGGTGATTCATCAAGCGTCTACATTAGGGCATTGGGGTGGCTGACTCCCTGCAAGAGACCTGATCGGATCCAGTCCGCCTTGAAAGTCGTCAGAGAACAGCTATAGTGACCTGGAGCAGATGGATTGACTCCCAAAACCCGATGGGGAGTGTTCTCTCCGCGCAGCGTGCGGGACACTGGCACGATGGACCCTACGTGTCTGGTTGTATGGGAATGGTCCTTGGATCAGGGCTGTTCCCAAGAGGCTGAGGCTTCCGACCCTGGAAACCTGCGGCAACCTGGTCTGGTTGGAGGGTCGCCGGGAGACCCGATATATCGGATATATCAGTTCAATGATTTGGTTAAAGGATGCTTAAGGGAACAATGATTGTTTTCACCCTATGGCGCCATCCGATGTTCCCCGACCAAAACTATTTTTCCGACCAATCCAGCTCCACATCGTTCAGTTCCCCAAATGAGCACATGTTCCACTGAAGGGGGTTTCCCCCGAACCGAAGCGTCACCTCCGAGCGCTCGCATCGATGCCATGCGGCAAGCGTGGCTCCAGGCCCCTGGCGCCAAGAGCCTTGGATGACCGGGGAGGAGTGGTGAGTCGAAGAATGCCGATGAGTTGGAGAAAAGCTATGCTTTGACAGCCCAGCACCCTCAACGGCCAGAGTCTTCAGGAAGTGGGTGTAGGAGTGGGTCGATGTTTTCGGTTCCTTGTTTCAGGAAGATGGCTTGACTGGTGACCCTGGGTGAACAGGGCTTTCTGCAATGAGAGAACAACTGGTGAGCAAAGTGGGCTGATCTACCTGAACCTGAGAAAGATGGGCCCCATCTACTATGGATTGAGAGGACCAATGGCACAGACCCCAATGTCGGTGGTTTATATGGACCCCCATCTGTCTAGGACATCTTGAGGTCTGTGCCATCTACTCTGAAACCACTGTACGCTCCTTTCCACCATCGAATCTACAGTACATGGATTTTCGACCTTTCGCCACCCAGAATCTGCTTGACATGGCTTTCTCCGATGGACGCATGTGGCAGGAGCAGGTGGTGTTGGCGGTGTTCCTCAGTTGCCCGGCGATGAGCAGATGTTGTTTGTTGAAACAGCATTCTTCCTTGCTGAAGACCTCAAGTGGGATCCGGGAGGCCTGATGCATGTGCCCTCTTAGAGCCTAAATGGTCTTCCAGGGGCCTGGTTTCCACTTCCATGATGGTTTCTGAATCCTGTTAGGCAGAGCCATCTGGCCTTAGCCACCAGCGCTCGAACTGATTTTGCCCGCCCCTTTTCTCCGGGATAGCGCTCAGAGGGCGGCGCCCAAGAAACATTTTTTCGGTGGGACGCATGAATGTGGGATGCATCTTGGCACACGGTTTGGAGGAATTCAGTCACCTTTTCGTGCCTTCCAAGAGGCACCAACCCGCAGGAGCATCTGAAGCAGATGGAACATGGCACATGTCAGTGGTAGGCACCTCTAGTTGCCCTCCAATAAGCACCCTGACATGAACTCCACATCCAGTTCAATAAGCTGAATGTGTGAGACCCCCCCAAAAAGAGGACATCACCGGAAAGACCCGATGATTTGAGTGATCCTGGTGACCAAACAGCCAGTCAGAGTCAGTGGGTCCAATACTGGGGTAACCCTTTGTTGACAAAAAAAGAATAGACTACGAAAGAGGTCATCCTACCGGGGGCCCAAATGGGCCAGTGATCCTTGCGTCCTTCGCGAACGACACGCATCGGCCTTGCCTTTCAGCGAGTATGGTAGAGAGTGTCCAGAAAACGCTTTGTAAAATATATAGTATGGATCAAGCGTCTACATGCGATGCCTCGACCGAGGTTTAGAGGCCGTCACCTTGCTGGTGTGGTTTTGGGCTGTGAAGGTCTACCCTTACCTAGCGACTCGGCGAGGTGAGTTGGGCCAGGGGCCCCTGTGGTTCGGGAGTTTCGGGGTGCTAGATCTTGGAACGTGGCCTGTTTAGGGGTATTTTGGGAGGCGGAAAACATGGTTTTTCAGCAGTTGGGTGAGGGTTGGCGGGTCGAAATGATCGGGGGTGAAGCACCCCTCAAGGTTTGGCCCACACCCACAGGATCCCACAGGCAGGGCGGCAGGGTGTCCACCAGTTTGGTTCGCCCAACATGATTTGATTTTCTGGACTTCTTCACTTCAGTACCTTACAGCCGCCGTGTCTGACTGGGCCCCTTCTTGGATCTGGGGCCTATTTTTTGATGTCGAAAGGGGTCCGGCGTTCTTGGTGATGTTGCTGGGGCAAGGAGGAGAGCGCAGTTGGACCGGTGTGTCGCAGTTGAAGCGGTCGAAGCTTTCCCGAACCGAAACGGGAGACAGGGCTGTCGACCCAGCCAAGGGCGAGATTGAGGGGTCTAGTAAAAATTCACACCCAAGACCAGAGGACGTGGAGGATTTCAATCATAGATTGGCCGCATCCCTGCGGCCTTCCGCTTGGTTGATGAAGATATTAGTGTTCTTATCAACGGTCTGGTTGGCTAGGGATAAGGAAGGCAATCG